AAGGTTAAAGCATGAGGGGGAGGCATGAAAACAACTGTTGACTATCTAGTCAGCTGGAAAGGATACAGACCTGAATCAAACCAATGGGTCAATGAAAAATACATGCATGCCGATGATGCGATTTGAGACTAGGAACACCAGATTAATATGCTTGACACTGTTATGATTTATTCCCCTTTTCTCTTTCTACCCCTATTCTTACACTTAGTCAGGAGGCACAGGACCATGGGAAGCTTAGTCAGCACAACTAACCTGCCCATCAAACCGTTATAACAGTCAAGCCCGACGACACACAATCATCCTTTTATGTACAGTAGCGATGCTCAAGGATAACAGGCACCATGGACACAGACATACATAATAAGCAGTAGTATAATTAGGAGATGCTAGCACAGTATTTAAGGACCTCAGCCCTCGCTGGTATACCCCAGCTTCGAGCTAAAGTTTATACATACCATTCTACCTCGAGTCTATATCTGACCTTGAGTCATATTGTCCGGATATACGCATAGTGAACTCAGGTGATTCCTTGAAGTGCGAAGGAACACCTGTTTATCACGTGTATCAGTTCACGTGATGCTTGGGCCTAACAGACACAAAGGGGGTCATGTTCAACATTATATCTGCAAAGCCAGATGTGGCGACAAAAGGAAGGGAGATGATATCTAGCCAGATATACATCAACCAACCTGCTGACAGCAGAGGATATGTTAGAGAGGACGATGAAGATGACCCTTCAACAGATGAGCCAGAAATGGTGAGGACATACAGCAAAGAGCAATGTACCATGCCTTCGACTCATTTGAAGCCTGCCATTGGAATGATGAGAGGTCCAGCAGATTGGCCATCTCCTGAATGGCGAGGAAGACTCCCCTAACTTGACCATCAGGATGATGGTCTTAAGGAGGGGGTAATGTTATGATTTTTCCATTTTCTTTCTATTTTCTTTTCTTTTTTCTCAGAAATGACCCCTATCTTTGCTTAGTCAGGGCACTTAGGCCAGCGCTTAGGACCGTGGGAACGCTTAACTCAGCACCCAAGTCGGTCACTCTCCTATCGTGCTGCTGTGTGCTGTGAAGAGAGAGACAATGCTCCTTATGTCTCTAAATTGCAGTGCAGCAACAGCAGTACAACAGCTTTTGTGGAGAGCCTGGCAACAGTGGGGGAAATAGCTCCACAGCAGACAACAGCTTTTGTGAACATTTATTTATAGTATGATAACAGAACAGTATTTAAGTAGTGTAGCTCTCACTGTAATATCCCAGCTTCAAGCTAAAGTTTATTCTCTACCATCCTATCTCGAGCAATTTGCAAACACCTTGACAACACACCTCTGTTAACACATCAGTGAACTCAGTCAGTCTAAACCCAAAGTGCGAGGTTCTGAACTGTTTATCACGTGTTAATAGTCATATGGAGTTTGGGCTTAACACAAAGTCCCTAATGGTCTCATCCTTCTTTTTGACAAAAAAGAAGGATGGAAAGCTTTGACCAGTATAAGATTATTGGAAGCTTAATGAGATGATCATCAAGAATCACTATCCCCTCCCACTAATCTCTGAGCTCATGGATAAGCTGCATTGAAGAGAGTCTGAGCATGCACATGGTGAAAATGGATACAGCAGAGTGCTGTCCACTGACCACACTCACACCAACACACACACAAAACTCTTAGTTCATAGGGGGATTATAATGTGATAAAAGTAGTAATCAACAAATATCATTGCCTTCTTCAATAAATCCACAGTGCACAAACAATAATAGCATGCTTACAACAGTCTGAGGTCTCTCTAAGTCTCAAAGCTTTTCATTTTATCAAAACAAGAGGTGGTAACTGATGTTGCCAGGCCTCAAGGCAAAGGGTACTGCATCTCAACACAATATGTCGAAACACTCTCACAAAACTCTCCAAAAAGTTCTAAACACAGCTCAGATCAAATCAAAACCCTTAACACACACAATACACAGCTCAAAGCTTCACACTCTAAGCAAAAACCAATCACAAACACATCCACAAGTGCCAGAGAGCACAGATCTCTGTTCACAAGCTTCCAAACCGATCGTAGACCCACAGGATTCAAACCTATGTGATCCAGAGACACAAAACACAATAAAACACCATCTGACAGACCAAAGAGTTTGAACCTCTGCCACCTGTAGCACTGCACATCACAATTACCTGAAAAACTCAAGATGATGCCCTTCAGACACTGCTCTCTTATTCTCAGATTAGAGCATAATCCAAAACCTCTTATCAAACTGAGCTCAAGTCCTTCATGAGCTTCAATGCCTTGCTTAGTTCCCCAATACACTGCAACTGTGGGGGTCAGAAACTTATATTCTACTCATACAATGCAGTATCTAAATACTCTTCTATGGTACTTACTAATATAATTCTACTATGGTACCTTCAAAGCATGGGACTCCATGCTGGATTCCATGGGTATTATTCACATATGTATTGCAGTTGTCATGCTTATTCTCTTCTGGGCCAGGACTGTGCAATGTTTCCTCACTAGCTGGCCTAACCCAGTCTGCTTTCTTTCTTATTTCCTCAGTGACACATCTCTGACAGCAGTAAACTGTTCTGGACCCCCAGAGTTATCTCCCATGTCTGGAGTCAGCCACAATAGTTATGTTCTCTTTTCCAGTGTCTCAACATTCTCTCCAGCTCATAAAATGCACTGCTTCTAGCCTGACTTACATTAATTAATTTATCCAATATGATATGTATCATACTGCAGTATGATGCAGAGTCCCTCACTATGGTAAGCATGCTAAAGCACTGTAAGTATGTGTGCAAGTCTCAGAGCAGTACAAGTGCTATTCATCTCTGAAGGTAGTATTCCTCTATCTATTTCTTTGTTGCCATCATTTCATTTCTCTATTCAGCACCCAGTTATTCAGATACCTTTCTTTGGGTCTCAGTTCTCTGTTCTAAAGCATGTTCCATCAGTGTATCATTGATCAATGTGATCAGGATTGCTGATCATATTTTGATCATATCCTTTTTATTTTTAGCATACTCTCTTATAATGGGATTGGTGTGTTTAGGGCCAAGTGCTAGGACCTCACATGCAGTCTAATCCCTCTGGTATTTGTCTGCTACTAGGCCATACACTCTGCTCCTTGTTACTTCAGTTTAGCCTTATGATGGCTAGGTTTCTGTGTGCTCTTATTCTATTCTCAGTTACATGCTTACTGGACTGAAATGCAGTCTATGTATTCTCGATTTTTGCAATTTTACATGCCTGAACATGGAGAGGGCATGTCACCAGGCCTAGTGGCTCACATCAAGGGGATGGTCAAGAAGAAGAAAGACACTGATACCCCCCTCAATCCACTAGCAGAAATGAGAACAATCGACCTGCAGGATTCAGAAACCCATGGATCCCCCCCCCCCATCCATAACCATAAAGACAAAAATATCCTGGAAGACTTCTTCCAGTAGTCTCCCTCCCCTGATCTGATTACTGCCTCCCCAACCAGGGAAAGCGAGCACAAGTGGAATAAGATTGAGAAAGAAGTGCACTTTGTTTGATTGAGAGGCTAGAAGACAATACTAGTAATCCCCTTCCCACCTGCAAGCTCAGAAAATCTCGCTCCGAGGATCACCACATGGCAGCAATTCTGGATTGATGTTGGTTGCTGACCAACATCCATTATGGACTCCCGAACCTTTCAAAGAGGTCGACCCTCCTCTAACCCTCTAGTCCTAGATAGCGGCACTTCAGCGCTTATCTCTCCCGAAGGATGTCTTCTATGCGTACCCGTACCACCTTAGCACCAAAACAGGGAAGGACGGCATGTCCAGTGGCCATCGTCATAGCCCGAGGTTCGATCCCCATGTTCAAATAAGCTCTTTGAAGGCTTTGTTTTTTTTTTACCTCTTTCCTCCTTTTGTTTGGTTGCATGGTACAACTGCGCAATATAACATCTGTCCTTTTCATTAATGGTCTTTGCGATGAAGGAATGGACAATGCTCCATAAACACTGGGGCTTGCAATTTCTGGATGTCTCAAAAATTTACTTACGTTTGTGTCCAACGCTACGCTACCTGAAGTAAGGGTCCTCGGTATGATGGATAAAGTGCCTCTTATTTACCTCTAGAGGCTGGTATTCTCGAAATATATGACAACAATGGTTGTATGCAAAGCAGAGAATGGCCGACTCCTCACTACGACCACGATGACTGTCGTGTTCTTCACCGAGACTGAAAACTGTACACAAATACGCCTCCTCGACATGTAAATTTGAGTATATGGGTGAGCTAGAACGTAGCCATTGAAAATTCCCAAGCCAATTTTGATGATAGGTGACTGCCACTGCCACCTTCGATTTTCTTCCCCGGTCAAAGATTCATTGCGCCCAAACACTGCTCTTCTCGCTTCGTCATACGTGATGCAGAAGGTGGAAACGAGGTGCCAGTGCGGACCTGTGTCTTCGAGTTCATCATAAAAAGCTCGTCTATAATTGCTATACCAAAAATAGACTTCTGAACCACTGGGTAAGCTACTGGCCTTGTATTCGGAAGTCTGCCCATGATTCATGGATAGTATGGTCCAGCAGCTAGTGCTGCGTCTCGAGGTTTGATTCCCCGTCTCCAACATGCCTGTCAGACTGTTTTATTTTCGTTACGTCGAGTCTCGTTAAGACAGGGGATGATGATTAATTGAAATGATCTGCTTTGCCGGAGAGGCGAGGCGACGAAGTCATGATGGTGGATGTATAGATATGTCACGACTCACGAGAACTATGGCACTGATTGTATGCCTAGCCACACACGTGAGCTCGCACTTACTAGGCCAAGATAACTGTCCATTGATTACTCGCAACCACTGCAAAAAAGCCTCCACAACAGCTACGTTCTGTTCCAGACATAACGGTAGATAAGTAAAAGGAAGAGGCGAAGGACGTAGAAAACCGACAATAGAATACATAATAACAGTCAAACAAGTCCATCAACACCTCACATCCCGGCTTGTAGTCGCGTCAATTGTTCACACACTAGCCGTGGACGTGGTATTGGTACCACTGACACCAGAAGATGCTGCTCCATCGACACCAATGGCAGTAGCGTCGGGGTTCACGACACCTCCATCTTCCGTAAGGTAACCCCCCGGAGAAGACTCATAGCTCGCCGACAAGTTCACACCGACTATACCCCAGCTGCATGGCCGGCACAGCATCATCAGAAACCCCCATTCAAAACGAAGATAAACAGACAACGCACAAAAGGAGCCCATCCGAAAGACCATCACCGAGGTAAACATACTCCAAGACGGGGTCGACCCCAGTTCCAGTGCTAGGTTCAACGCCCGCGATGAACACGCGGTCGTCTTCGTTTTCGGTGATGGCGATCGTATTGTTTGCATACGGAGACGTCGCCTCTACCGCGGTGATGAGGTCTTGGTCGAAGAACACTTGGCCTACGGGTGGGGGGCTAGTATCACCAGATGAAAGATGGGAGGAGCGACGCTTACCGATGTGTTGTTGGCCGTCGGAAGAGAAGGTGCCGTTATCGAAGAGCGTTCCATTTTCATGGACGATCATATGGAAATGGGTCGCCCGGTTAGAGTAATGTCCTTAGACAACCATCAGTTGGGCAAAAAAAAAAAAATAGAGAAAGAGACGCACCCGGAAAGATAGACTCAAACTGAGCGTATCCCTCGTCGTTCGTCGGCTGGATAGCACGCAAGAATGTCGTGTTCTTTCAACTAACGGTCAAAGGAAGAAATGGAAAGCGAATAAATCTTGACGGACCCAATTACTCTCATCTGTGTCATCACCATTGCCATCCGCAACGATGCCAGCGTAGACGCCAGTCGCATTACAATGCCACACATCGAGATAGATGCCGGTGATAGGCTCGCACGTAGCTATATCGATCAGCTCGACGTCCACGTAGGTGGGCACCCCAGTTTGGTTTTCGCGCATGTCCGAGCGGACGTATTCCCCCTGAACGTAGTACGGGCCCTGCTCGAGCTCCGGAGTGAGTATACACGAGGTATTAGACGTGAATGGGTCCGAGTCGGACGTAAGCCCTGTTATGTTTGACAGATGGCTCGTGTCCACGACCTCCTCGACGGTAAGCGCGCGTTTGTACGGAGCGTCTGATGACGATATAAGATTGGGGTATATGGAGGATCCGCGAGGGATAGAGAAAGATACTAACGAGTAGCAAGCCCGCGCTTCCTTCGGAGATCCTCAGCAAGCGCCGTACGACGAGCGATTGACCTGTCGGTGTATCCGCACCGAGCAAGATGGCTCTGACAATCCGCAAGGGAACGGCGGGTAGCAGTTTCGAGCTCAGCGCGACGAGAAAGCTCAGCTGCAGTTGGGGGAGCCTCGCCGGGGTGTGCGACGACCAGGAGAGCGAGAGAGATAAGAGAAATGAGATGGATCATATTAGCAGATATCTGGAGAAATGGGATTGGAATGAAGCTTTGGCAAAAGAAAAAATTTACCTCAATATATAGCCTCATCGTCCGCAGCTCCAGCGATAATGGTTGCCACTGAGATATTTCTGATAACCTATTGGGTGCTGGCCCTTGAGAATATGTCACAAACTCGCACCATGGGCGGATGCGATATGTGGTCGTGATGCACTACGTTCCCAGATAATGCCCTATGAACCTTGATCACAGTTTCTCGAAATATTTAGTGCATTCATGGACCGACGGGGTCCCCAGGTGCGGGTCTTCAAGTGATCAAACGAGCTCAAGAACCCAAGTATCAGTCTGAATCTCGATCCAGGTTGACTGTCAGTTATACAATCAATTTCGCTAAAATTTGTCCCAACTAGGCTCAGCGGTGGTCCAATTGGTAGCGTGCCGTAATGGACCAGGATAGGGTATGATCCTGCGCAAGTCTGATGCCAAGGATGATCGGAGAAACCTTTTTTTTGAATAGGCGCAGGAGCCAATGACGACGAGGCAATTGCAGGTGCTATTCGATACATGTGCACCTGGTCGAATGAACATTTCTGAAACTAATATTGAGTATTTGCGTAGATGAAAAAGTACTTTTATGCTTTGGAATCAGGAAGAACTGAAGGAATTATCTTTTCCATGGACTTTGATGACTGCGGGAGGCACTGAACAACGCTACCTTGGTTCTTCCTCCTCCCTGTGCTGTATTGGCGCCAGAATATACGCAGTGTTGCGCAGAAGCGCAGTTCACAGCTGATCCATTGACTCTCTGTGAACTAAACTCCGCGGAAGCAATCTTCCTTATGGAACTATCAGAAAACTGTGGGTAAGAATGATGCAAAATATGCACGAGCTATAATTAGACGAGATAGACGCCCCGTCCCATTCCTCAGTTGCACCCAAGGTTCTTGACTATGTCCATCTCACCGTTGAGGAAAGCGGTCAATATCGAGGGATGAAGTAGGCAATCATCTATATCATGTTTGGGGAACCAACGCGCACCTCCATATCAATGGGCAACATGCCTCTTGGTATCTCCTCAGAACCTAAGCTTTCGGCTCCCTTGGCAGCATGCATAGTCTGCCAGGAAAGGAAATGCTATCGAAAATGGTCCATTAACACAACCAGCTTCCTAACCACACAGAGTATAATTCTGGGGACAGCATAAAAACTGGAGCACGAGCTACGTCACTCTTGGATCCGGTTAACTGGTACACATTTGGGTAGCCGGCATCTCGTCTCTGCGTGAAAAAGCATTCCTTCCACCTCAGAAATGCGAAAAAGCCGTTATTATCATACCTGGAACTTCAGGAAAATCAGGGAAACACAGAAGGATAAATAACATCAATATGTGTAGATACAGTTGTGCAGTAGAAGGCGGCGGATACTTGCTCGGAGAAGCTTCGGAGTATGGAGTTCCGCGACCTGATTCACAGCGACTTGCTCCTTTGATTCGATGGTTGTGAAGGAGGGGTCGAAGACCAAGTACCTGCGCAGGGGTTGCTGTTTGTTGTTGTGTTTCGTCATGTCTCGATATCCTTCCCGCATGGACCACGTCTGCGCACGGGTAAATTAATCCCGGTGTTGGATCGTTTTCTAATCATGATGACGGATTCTGTGAGATTAAGAGCGCCGATACACGTACTTGAAAGCGAGGTGAGCAGATGGCGTACTAAAGAATATCGCACGCGCCAATAGCTTTGGAATATTCGGGGCCTTTTTTGCGTCACTCGCTGTCACAGTCGCAAGTACGAATGTTGCTGCAGATGGTCGTTTAATTGCAGGAAGTAAAGTAGGGCAGTCACATATTCCGTACATCCGATAATCACGGTGTCGGAAATATCCCTAAAGCAACCGTGTTATGATGAAGGGTCGCACAGAGGGACTATATCTTGTTGTATCATAACGTAAAAGTGCAAACCGTCTTCTACTACCTGATATGTGAGAACTTCAACTTGCGACGAATAGTAAGAAACCGTGGTTGTATGTCGAACTCATCGAAACTAAGCTGCCAACGTGAGGGTCTTCCTAGAGCAGGTGAGAGACAAAACTGACATTCAGGGTTTCGTCAAGTTTCCACCACCGGAAGCTGATTCTAGAAACCGCCTACTGCCGACAAAGACACTTTATTTACATAACATCGCCGCCTAGCCTAAAAGCAGTCCAAATTCAACGTAATAAAAGGAAAGGGAAGCGACAAAGTTAACTAACTCAGCATTGTCCACCGTGTTAACAGTCAAGCTAAGAAGAGCGAGGATGATTCATAAGAAGATTGCGGAAACGATCATCGTCAACGTACCTACTTTCAAATAATGAAGCCCTCTTCCCTAGTATGCGGCCATATCTTCTGGAAAAAGCTAGGCCTCCGCATCCAATGTGAATTGGGAGACAACCCACGAATTATTAACAAAAACTGACCTTTCGATAGGATCGTCTGAATCATATCTTTGTACCGGGTTTATGGGTTGTGACCCGTATAGTAATCGTTAGCATTGCACTGGAGGGACACAGGCGCTGTACAGTGTCGTAAATTTTGCCCTTCCAAATTTCGGCGACGTGGAAGCATAGGCCGTTGGGAGCTAGACCTCTGTATAGACAGAGAACCGATGTGCTAAGCGGTTATTTGAGACAAGGAGTGATAGAGAGAACGAAGGAGCAGAAAGCTACTGATTTCATCGGTAAGAATGGTGTAAGACGACAAGACGGCACTCACAATAAAGGCATAATCGATCAGATCGACGACGACCAGTTTTCTCAGCCCCCCGACAACCTCCCTTTCGGGAACGAGCTAAAATAGGCTGGTTCACATTCACCCAAAGATATTGCATAAGCAGCAAAGAAATTTAGTTCGTACTGTCCTAGTAAAACGATAAGCAAGGTCACGGGGATCAACCCAATTAATGATGGTGTGAAGATAGGGTCTTCCCTTGCCGTCCCATTTTTTCCTATTTCCTGTCCCGGCACACTGGCTAACCTGACCATTACTGAAGCAAAGATGAGTCCAGAGGCTTGGTTATTATCGAACCATGCAATCATCTTGTAGAATTTCGTCCATTGAAAGGCCATAGTCACAGTCATGATATGACAACTTCTCAGATCTAGGCAACTTCGGGAGCTTAACACAGTGAACTAAGAATGGACAAAAACATTAGTCAGAGGAAACGCAAAATACTGCAGAAGCGTACCAAAAGTTCCACTGCATTTTACTGGAGTGGCTCCTCCGTTCTTGTTTAATAGCAAGTCCTTCAAGAATTCCCATCTCGTTGGGAAAATATCCAGATAAATGCATATCGAAAATTCATCTGGATGCATGGGAAGTTACAAGCAGAATCTGGGGCAAAGATGATGGAGATGAGAAGAATAGGTTACTAGGAATTTGAAAATTCAAATTCCCGTTAGTTGAAATACACGGGATCACGACGGCAGGCAATTTGAATGTGAACTTGATCTTCATCACGATCCTCTCCTTTTATCTATAGCATGTAGTACTGATGCTGGGCGTTCAACAGGTGCAATAGACTGGTTCAGAAGCAGATTGCGTCAATCACATGTGACACGTACCTTTGTCACCAACTCTCATCTGCTTTCAACTCTGGGACCGGTGGACCATTTTTGCACCACAGAACAGAGCACTGATTTGGAGAACAGCTCATTGTAGTGAAGTGACTAAGATAGTTAGAATTTCTGTGGCAGCATGATCAAGGTATGATATTTATTGCTGTCCCCTTCTGGTTTTCTGATACGTAGTTTTCCAAGTTAAGGATGCTCTGCACCAATAGTGTTGACATCTTCTTATGCCCTCCAGAGCCTTCGCTTTTTGGTGAATACCGTGTCAGAGTCTTTCTTTTTTTTTTCAGAGTGGCTTATTCAGTTTCTTTCATACATAATCCGCTATTCCGAACTACATATATATGTTTTCATCGCCAATGCATCCCCCAGCTCCCTATGCCATCAATTAGTTCTCTCAGAAAAGTTCTTTCTCCAGCGCAAATGGCTACATCGCAACATGGATTGTTCATGCCTTTTTTGAGAGAGGTCATGCAGTGCGAGGGAAGGTGCACAGCCTAGTGAAAGGCGAGCATTTGAAGAACACCTTCAAGTCATATGGCAACCAGCTAGAAACTGTTGTGGTCAATGACATTACCAAGGTGTGTGTGTATCGTTCTCTCTGATAAACAAGTCCTGACATCTAAGATAGGACAGAGCTTTCCATGAAGCAGTTCAGGGCGTAGATGCGATAGCTCATACGGCATCACCTGTGCAGTTGAGCATGAGCGACCCAATATGTCTCTGGAATCGCCTTGCAATCCAAGCATATTATCCGTTCATGCTTTATTTCCGCAACTAGGACCCCGGACGAATTATCCTCAAGTTTATTGGGTCTCCCAATGTATCACCATCTCCGTGAGTTCCCTGGTACTCAATCAGCGTCAGATTCAGGGACGACATTATGTCATTGACAGGACGATCTCCAATTCTGCTTCTGCCGACGATGACAGATGCATATGCTGTGCATAAGGACAGCCATTGGTGCCTGTGGACTCACCACCCCTTGCCATCAGCATGGACCACAGAGAAGAGGAAAGATTGACTTGCTTGAACCGTCCAGTGAAATTTCACCTTCCCCATCTGTCGTCATCGTATTTCCATACATTGACAGGCCTATCGACAATTTCTGGTACTTCTGCTGCGATAAGCGGTGAGATCTGAGACCTTGACTGTGTAGTGTGGGTGTTGGTGTTGGTGTTGGTCTCGGACAGCGTTATTGCTGTCGTTTTCCCCGGTGATAGTTGGGACAACAATCTGCATCGATGAACTCCAAGGATTATATATCGAGGGTTTGAGTCGGTCCTTATCATCACAGTTGAACAAGTTCTGACAAAATAAGGAAAGTATGATGTCAGACACACGAGAGATAATCTTGATGTTGTGAATACGAGCTCACTCGTTTGGACTAACGATGATCGATTCTGTAGCAGTGTGAGGGAAATTTCGTGGAGAATGGAGAGAGGAGGTTCTGCGGTTGTTATATATCCATGGGTGCCGCCGTCATCATCGTCCGTGGAATACTCACATTGTAGTAAATGGCTTCATCCCTAAGGACAGGAACGGTGTTTCTGTGGTCTGTAGTGACCATGTACGCCGAGTCTTTCGACGGTGCAGAGCCCAAAATTGATAGGGGAGAGAAAGGACGAGGCCACGTCATTCATGAGCGCTGTTTCCTGACCTTCTGATTGACACAGCACCGATAGATGCCTAATCCGAGTCAGCGAGCTCTTTGTCGCTGAAAAATCTCACTCCTGGGATCTCATAGTATTTCCGACCCACCGCTATGCAAGAATCGTTTGAGCTTGATGCGACGAGCCATGCTCCGAGGAAAAAGGTTCCACTCCCATGAGTGGGTCCTTGATTTATGGCTAATTAAGTCACCCTGCTGTACAGTCTAGCAGGCGCATAATTCTGAAATCCGTTTTTGACATGCCGTCAGTTGACCAGTGGATGATTTGGCCCGACGTAGGGTAAAAAAAAATACGGTTCGATTCCGTGTGTAGCGACTATTAATGATTCGTTTCTAAGTTGACATTATCCTTTTTAATACGAATGTCCTTTTTTAAAAAAAAGTTCTTCAAAGGGCCGAGGGGTGGGATTACTCAGTGACAAACATACCCGAGTTTCAAAGCAGTTAGGGTTATCACAAGCGCAAGGGGGAGTGTCTGCTCATGAGTAGCTCCGCCACCAAAATCCCGCCTTACCCAAAGCTTACTGCCGCAACATAACGAATCTGCGCAGTCCTGACTGGATCACTTAAATTGCTTCGACCTCGCCCAGACTCACAACGAGCTACCAAACGCGTATTAATGCCTTGGATCAGGTCCTCAGTTCCACTGCTCCAGACGTCCGTCTCTGGAAAAGCGATACTCTACAAGTCATCGTCTGTCGCTAATGACGTGCCAAGCACAGCATGTGCCCCAACCTCACATAATTTCTCCTTTTGGACACCTAAGTTTGCTTGCAATGCCAGCTATGGTATCAAGGTATCGTTCTGTGGTCATGGGGTGTATGGGGAGCTTATTGCGATGATTGAGGAGATCTCGGAGGTTGGGGCTGCTACAGACCTTGCATGGTGAGGGTGGAGGTTTTCATAACCTGCTCTCCTTGTTACTAATCGGAAAGAAGTACTGCTTCGGAAGAGGTCATCGTCTTTTCTTCAAAATCTGATAGGCAGACCTTAGTAAATGTCCTGAGCTATCTTTGTCTTCCCTGAAACCAACCCCAAAATTCAGGAGGTCAATTTCTTCTTCTGCATTGTTTCCCCCACACCCGATGCCAGGTTAACGTTCCGAGGTACGGGAAAACGAGGTTTCCTGGGAGGTTCAATTCCCAAAGACCTGAGTGCAGAAATTACGTCTCCAGTGTTGACACAACTTCCATTTGAATCTGTTCTGGAGGCTAGGACCAAGGATTTACTCTGTTCAATTACTCGTGCTAGCAACTGTCTCGTATTATCAATTGTAGCCATGTTCAGTATTAGACGCCAGGCTATGGGATCCTTCCTCATGATAATATTAACTTACATGATTCCGCCATCTTCGACTTGGGTGAGCATACCAGTACACATAGTCCTTCGAGTGATAAATCTTTGGGGAGTTTGGTTTTCGTGCCTTCTCTGTCTAAATCTCCGATCCTTAAATACTGTACTACTGTACTATTTCGACCTTATCTTCATGTCATGTCTCCTCTGTTGTGAGTGATATCCGAGGACCCACTAGGAATGTCAGACAGAATTGGAGAGAGGGTCATTAAATAATGCACTACTCCCTTGTTTCCAGTGCTTTCAACAGGGTATTCTCATTCTTGACTCTAAGTCCTTTGGCTTGAAGAGACAAAAAGAAGTTCAAAATAGTGGCTTTTTCAAGCAAGAATTAAAAAAATTCCTGCCTTGAGAGTCTATGTGCATTCCCATACATTTCCATCCTACCAGCAATTCAGTTTGATGATTCTGCCATGATGACTGGAGTTAGATGCACACAAATGAACTATCTCCAGAGCCTAAATCAACACAGAAATCATCAGAAATTCACTAACCCCAACAGTTTACCCAGAATGTACTTGAAGCACCACCAAACAGATGGTTGTCAGGCTGTCTCGTAACGAGTGTTCTTTACATCGGCAACCTTGAGGCAGCAGAACATCCTGTTATAACAGTCTACAATGTAACCTAGCTATAAGGTATAAAAATGAGGTGACCGTAGCACGGAGTTGGTCACTGCCAGCACGATAAAGAAGTCCACATTTCATAATTTCAATAACTGTGACACATAGTCCGATTTACTAGTTGAGCACAAGTGCGGTGGACAGGGAATACCAGCCTTCAGTGTCAACAGATGAACAATGGTAAAACAGAACCATTGGACACTGATACTGGCAGCAGATGTCAGATTGAGAAACAAAGGAAAGAAGAGATCGACACATGAATAACAGGCCTTCTATTGTTTCCTTGCCGATCCCACATTCCTCTATGCAATGGTCATCGATGAACCATTCAAATACCCTTGAATGTCATCTATGCAAGAGACAATGGTCTTACCTTCAGTGGCACTGAAATTGCCTTTGTTCCTGTCATCAATGTGTATGACAAAGACCAAATGCCACTCACCCTTGGAAATATAAAGCCAGTCCATGTCATTGCAATTTTCTCATCCTCTTTCTTCCCTATCTCACACATAGAGCTTGAGAGTCATTGACTTCAAGCAGTTTTTGCACCCACCCTTGCCACTTTCCCTTTTCATTTTCATTATACTCTGGTTACAGTCTCTTGTATTTCATACACTCACCTGTGCCAGCTTGAGCATAGCTTCCCTTGAGGGGCTGTCATGAGAGAGCTTTGGCATCCAAACAAAGACCTGTTTTGTCCCCAACCCCTTGCTCCTAAGAACACTCCTCATCCACTACTGCTCCTCAACCCCTCTCAACTCCTAGAACAAGCATAGATGCTGAATTCTTTCCTTGGACTCAATTTCAGCGACCATCCTGGCTGATTGTGACCTCTTCTAGTGGACATGCATCTGGAATAGGCAGCATTTATCCCCATACACTGTGTATAGCATTGGCTATGAGTTTCAACCTGTACAATGGAGAACGAGTTCACTTAAATGAAGGCAACGACAATTGTCATGCCAGATGCCTGCCTCTGCAGCGCTTCACACTACGAAATGTATGTAGACTCCTGTAAAATCCGACTGCACCATTGTATCATGCATTGATGTTGAATGTGCAGAGCGACTGTATTAGTACATCACATAAGGAAGATAGGCAAGAGCAATGCATCGAGGTTTCCGCAGCAATTTATATGGTAACCGGAAACTGGTATATGCAAATGGGGGCAACATGGTGATGGATATTGCAAAAGATTCCCATGGTGAGCCCATGGCGATCTAGCACAGCCATTGCCTGTTTGTCATTGACGTTAGCGGTGACCTTTCTCATCAAGGAGAATGTTGATAGTGGTAGAGGTGGTGCTGTCGTTGTCGATTTTGATTTGCTTCACGGTTCCATCCCATGAATCGGCTTCATTGGGATCATACGGGAGCGAGGAGAGGAGATGAGAGGAGGTGATATGCTCAGGAATGTCCCATCTGGCAATGGCGAGGTGTCAGAGGGCTTCTTGGAAGTGTGTAATGTGTTCAGAGATATCGGATCCAAGGCTCATCGACTGGGTAAGCTAGCATAACCATAACAGATCCTGATCCTTTCTGACTCATCTGCAATTCGAGCATTTGCCAAATACGAAAGACGTGGATCTCATTGTTGGTCAGAAGAAATGCACGATGGGGCGAGGACATCTGGAACAGGCTGAGCATGAGATCGGGGTCGGTTAGAGTGCGGGGTCCATAACCTGATGAAGTCTAAATGAGATGCTACACCAGGAGTGAGCAGTAGTAAACTAAATGAGTGAATATAAAACATGCCACAATGGTAATGATGATGGAAACGTATCGCTATGTCCAAGAGAGGGAATCGGCAATGGATAGTGATGGTCTCGGTTGTAGCTATGGACAAGCGGGAATCTGCAGTAATGCAACATGTGATCTCAGAGGAACTGGACTGTGCTAATGCTCCCAACAATGTTTCACCAATGCTGTGACATTTTCAACATCAGACAAGGGATTCAAGGTCATGAATGAGATAACAGATTTTAGGGATGAAATCATGGACAGAAAAGATCACTAGCAACTTGTAGAATAAAAGGCATGGTAATACTAGATGAGAATTGGTTAGATTTGGCAAAGCCAGACAGGCAATTGGGATTATTGATGCCAGAGGGATGAGGCAGAGCCTCCATGCCCAGGATTGGCAGTTAGAATTGGATGACAGTGAGAGAGCAGAGCTCATCTCACTTAGGAAAGCAGGATGAAGCTGAAGATGAAGCTTTGACACCAGAGCTAATGTCTCTCATGAATCAGTCTCAGCCAAGTCAGCACTGAGACTGAGACAACAGTGGGAGCTTATAAATATCCATTGTCAAATCAAACTTGGACCACACACTGATGACTGAACAGGCCCCCCACATCCTCTATGCAAAGGCCCTCATCCACAAAGGCCACAGTTATCTGTTTTGGTATCCAGAGCCAGAATGTAGTGCATCTGATGAGTTCATGAGTGCAGGTGTACAATCTGGGGATGTAGGGATTCACAATGATTTAGGGGGCTTTGACTTTCTCTTCAACATCTTTGAAAATGCTGAACATCCAATCAATCATGGTCATGTGCCTCTTGACTTGGTACCTCTCAATCCATCATCTATACAACATTGCACTGGCATCTATGGGACTGTTATTGCAAGTCAAGATGCATCCTACTCAGATATTTTTGCAGGCATTTCTGCTGAAGCTTTGTCAAGGTCCATGGATGACTATATCCTTGAATTTCATTGTCTACATTTGCTTTATAGTATTACAGGCACTGCACCTGCCATGTCGATTGACTTCACCATCTCAGGGTCATCTGCAGCAGTCCTGTGTCTTCCTAATTCTGCAATGAGGTACAACATTCTTGACAAAGGCACAATCAAGGTATACACTGAAAAACATGGGGTATCTTGGTACAATTACATCAATGATCCAGATTGCTTAGGTCGAGAAGCCTGCAGGGCACTTTGTATGCCATCACCAGCTGTGACAAAGCAACTACCTGGGGAGCTGCGGTCATTGGAAGGGCAGCCAGCAGTTTAAACTGTTCTCTTACATGTGCTATAGCACCTATTGGTGGAGTAAATGCTCCAGTTGTGTGTGCATGGACCACTAGTTCTGGATTCGATGCATGCCTATATCCATTACCTGGCACCATTTATCCTTACCCCAAACATCTTGAGAACCAGTGCATCTTCATGCACAGTTACACCATATCAGTTTCAAAAGTCCTGCTCAAACCACACTGGGAGGCAACTGCTGATCCCCTCCATAGCCTTTTCAAAGATCCCATTCACTTTTTTGATAGTAACGAGGCACTGCTCCTGCTGAGTAACAGAAACAGCAGAACTTGGACTCATTTGCTCTCATTGAAGACAGCACTGAAGGACCAGGACTCAGATCAGAGAAATATATTGGCAGAGAGCACAGAAAATATGTCTTTGGTCATACAAATACCTGAATTTCCACCCAGGGAAAGTGAGGTGAGATTGATGTCAGTCATTTTTGGCACACTGAAATCATTCCTACTTTCAGCTTTTGAATCCTTCAGCAGTGATGAATGAATATTCATTAAGCAAGGTAAGTTTTTGATAAACAACAATTCACATTGACACATTCTTTGCAGGACTCTTCCCTCAAGATCGCAATCATGCATGATAAAGAGTGGATGGAAGTACTGGAAAAGTATGAAAAGGATAGATATTTAACAGAAGAGGAATTCTGATCCAAATTAAAGGACTCTTTGGATGCCAAGAGCAAAGCCGTGCATGTTGGACTAAAATAAGCCTCATTTGCCTGAAGATCCTGGTGTATTTTGATCTTTTCTCCTCATTTTCTTTGTGGTGATACCGGAAGGAAGATCATATATCTCCTTCCTTTATACTATCACAGCCAATGTACATTTCAAATCCGTCGCAAAATACATTAGTTTTACAGCCAGGAACAGCGAATCCTTGCAGATATTGATGCTATTGAGGATAAAACCGGAGCATTTCTACTAGAGATTCATTTCAAGTGACTCCTATAAGTCTATGAAAGGATTGCTCAGCACCATGTACCAGACCAAAGATTTGGGTAAGCACTCACCATATCAGATCTATGGATCCTATGAATGTGAGATTCGTATTTCAGTTGAGTGTTCACAAAATGGGCCATGGGTGTAGAGTGCATCCTCCCCATTTGTTTTGTGGGCGGCTAACTGCGACTCTCCTCCTTGTGCTTGTGACCAGCCTATACCCAACAGCTTCTTTGAAAAACTCGGGTATACTTGTCATGATTTGTTACTGAGTCCTTACTCCGATCTGGAAACCCCTCGACACTTTGAAAAACTTTTTTTAAAGAAGGGACATTGGCATCATCCAAGATGTAAAATGGAAACATTCTCCATGTATGGATGTAGAGCCGCTACACGGAATCGAACGGTATTCTTCCCTACATCAGGGCCAATCTTCCATTGATTGATGGACGGCATGTCAAAAATGGATTCAGAATTATTATGCACATCATAGAACTCCGCAGCAGGGTCGAAGGGAGAAGCTCACCTTGGTGATGGGAACCTTTCTATCCAAGTCGGCGGTTGCGAAAGACCATGTTCAAATGTTGGTGGACTACGATGGCCCTCCCCCCGTCCTGAGCATGAAGAGAAGTATTATTACTGCTGTACCAAATTGTGAGCGAAGTACGACAGAGCAGAACCGTAAAATACTCACCACCCTCAGCGCTTATTCGATAAACCTTCCGGTCATCGCGTATCGAGCTCGGAGGCAAACTATAACCTCCGCTCCACAGTATTACTACGAAGGTTCTCCATTTCTTTTCCAAGCGAAGCAGGACTAGACATCAGATGAATAAACTGCTCGCAGACCAAGACAGAGATTTCAGAAAATCATCTGTGGCAAACCTCCAAAAGTTATACCAGCTGGTAGACTTCTATTCGGCGGCAATGCTTCGGAGATAGTCCCACCCCACACCAACGTTGGTAACATTCACAGAATCTACAAAAAGGGCAGGCGAAATATGCACCCGAGAACTACATCCGTGGTGCTCAATTAAAAGACTCTGGGAGCGTAGGTGGGGGAAGGCGAATGCGGATTCAGACTGTATCACGTGACCATTTAGGGGCAGAGTAGACATACATCGCACGTTTACGCAGCTAGCCTAGACAATCCATCCATTCCACCTCCCGGACTCTACGAGGGGTTCTAACTCTACTCTACCCTTGGACATGAGCCGTAACCTCAGTTTTACACAGTATTGGGACAAGTTTCCTTTGACGCAAAGCGATGCCCAGAAAACGAATCAGCAACCTTGAAGGTGAGAAAGCCAATTTTCAAAAGGGGCTCAACGGGCGGGAGCACCAAGTCCAGTCGGCGGTCGATGCAGCCTATGACATGACATTCAGTGCTCAGCATAGTACTGGATCATTTCCCAAGTTGTGGAATATCCGTTCAGGCCTAGCATAGTGAAAGTGATTAACAAGGTAGGAGTGCAAATGGCGGGAAAGAAGCTGAGAAGCGCAGGCCGGACTCTCTCAATCATGTCGGCAGTATCCAGATGCGCATGGGCTCTTGACATGTCACCATGGGAAGATCTAATTCCTTTCACAGCACCGCGTCGGATGATACTCGTGGAGATGGATGTCCGTGCCATTGACGAAAGAGACGATGGGCATAGACAGAAACATGCCAGGGAACTCGTCAATTCGATGGTCTAGGGCCACGATACGCTCGCCATGCAAAATTTATGCCCCAGCCCATGAAAACACACTGGCATGTAGACCGCCGTCTGAATGGAGATACCTGTACTTGGGAGCACAACACGAGGGTGAGCAGGTGGTGGTCCCAATGTCATGTTCCCGTCGTCAAAGATTTCATCAGGACAGAGGCGTGGCTGGAGCGGCCGTATTCTATCATGTAGCGCCCGACAGCTCGCCGCCAAGCTACAGATGCCACAAAGTTACACGATATCATATAACGTGAGGTATGATGGTCGGTACGGAGAGGGTAGCCGTAACGGGTCTGGGAGATGCTGAGTCTATTTCGAGCGGAATTAGGTGCAAGACGGAGAGCAGCGCGAAGGCTTGAGCCACGATGATTACGGGAAGTGTTCTATGATGCAACGCAGAGGTTGGGCAAAGGACCCCTGGTAAACTGAAAGGATGATTCAGCTGTGAGTATGTCATTTATCACTGATGAGAGGAAATGCTCACGAGCTTTGATAATGACACTGAGACAGATGCAGTGAACTAACATATACTGAGCGCGTTGGAAGAAATATTAATGCAGAATCCGCACACCTCTCTACTGCGTAAGAATGATAAGTAGATGTAATGTAGTCCAGCGACGACTACGGTGCCTAGGAGTAGTCCGAGTGGTATGGATGTCTGCGATATTCGAAGTGTTCCTCCTATCGTTGGTCAGTGCAAGATTGCTGAAAGGGATCACAGGAGAAAATGACAGCCTGACATATTTCAAGGAAGCCCGTGGCCGTGTCTGATTGAGATTGATCAGTTCGCTGCTGGCTAATAAGAAACAGGGCGGTCCCATCTATCAGTCCCATCCCCGCCACAGTACGATATCTAGCTCGTCGACGTGGAGTTAATGAGAAATAAGTGGTTGTTGTGGATAATGACGAAACGTCACAAAAAGTCATAACGGTAAGAGGAAAGGCATTCTGGTCCGGTGTTCGGTTATTTTGACGGTGGCTTTGCGGTCCGATTCGTTATGACGCCGATAACTCCAATGGTACCGACTCTTCTCCTGCTTTTACTGACACGGTTCTGCTCATTTCGGCCGTTCTCCTCAGAGAATGACGATAGCCGAATCTCCAACTGCACGCGTATTACTTGATCTAGTCAAGCGCGTTCGTTGAACGTCTTTCGAGTTAACTTGAATGCCCGTCTCCACTCTCTTCACGCAATATTGAGGCTATTCGTTTGTAAAAGTATCCAGAAAATCTTCTCAAGCTGCTAGAGGGAATCGAACCGTATCTCCTACCCATCCTCAGGGAGGTCTTCCACTCATCCACGGCACTTGCGTCCAATCCTGATTATGCCATAAAAATGTCCTTCAGCATTCAGCGAGTGCCCATTAGACTCCGGCATCCGTCGTAGGTTATGTTGCGCTGGCACTCAAAGTACGCTTACTGTGCTGCTATGCTATTGAGTGTAAAACTGGGAATTTCTAGAAGGGATTCAGCTCAAGCTGAATCTGATTAGTCCACGAAAAGAGCGTTGAGGTACCGGATAACAACTCACCATGTAGGATCTGCAGATCCTAAACATGTGAGATTCTTATTTCAGTTGAGATGTAGTACTTGTTGTGGAGGAACATGAGAGGAGTTTCTCCTCACGAAACGGCCTTGGGTGTTCAGCTCCGCCGCCCTCATTCTCACGTTCAGTGGGCTAACTGTGACTCTCCCGCTTATGACCACCCTAAATCCAACAGCTTCTTTGAAAATCTTGGGTATATTTGTTACTGAGTAACTCCCATCTCAGCACTTATGTAAAAATGAAAATCTCTTTTGTCTACATCATGTTGCTACACGGAATCGAACTGCATTTCTTCCCCATGTTGGGCCGATCTTTCCACTGATCGACGGTATAGCAAACATATTCAGAATTCTGGGCCTGTTATGACTATCTGCAGAAGGCTGACTTATATTAGCGATGCGAGATGCATCATTTTTCAATCAATAGGGTATTGGCGAGCTCAGATTCATGCTTTCTCACTTCCGGGATCTCACAGTGTCACACGACCCACTGTTATGCAATCACGACATGCATGATGCAATGAGATCAAAACTCGGCAGCCCTAAAACATTCTCTCTTCCCTCCTCGATCACGAACTCAAAGCAAAGATCGTTTCGAAAATCCTCTTTTCTCTATGAATCTAGTTGTTCATGACCTACATTGCTTGTGGACTATGGGACCCTTCCAAGTAGCCAAGACACCTCGACTCCTTGGAGTTTGGGGACCTCGCCGTTTATATATTTCTCCCGAAGGATATCTCATAGGCTTGTGTCATTATTTATCCCTACATCAGTCCCATGATGCAATGGCAGCACGCCCAGCGGCCATCGCTGTGCTTCAGTTCGATCCCCCATGTTCAAATCGACCCTTTGAATGCCTCTCTTTTTTTTCTTACTACCTCTTTCCTCCTTTGGTTCGTTGCCATCGCGCAACTGTTCGGTATCTATCCTGGACTCCTGATTATGACCCACAATCATTTTTGGTATTCTTCAGCGAGACTGGAAAAATTTTGACCCTCTTTCAAAAAATATTCCTCTGCAACATGTAAATTCAAGTAAGTATATGCTTGAGCTAGAACATATAGTCATTGGAAATCCACAAACTAAGCCCTCTTCCGAACCGGTTTCGAACGTCATCGTCCTGTCGTATCATTCAGAGGCGGGTTCGATTCCCTATGTTCGACTCATGAAAGAATTTTGAATGATAGGTTGACCACTGCTGTTACCTTTGATTTCCTTTTTTTCCTCGGTCAACAATTCATTGTACCCAAAGAATGCTCATCATATGAAATATTCCTACTATTAGTTGTCGCTTCGGATTTACAGTAAGATTTTCCTACCTGATGGAGAAAGTGGTAACAAGCCCCACCAATCATAGTTTCTGCTCCCACAGTGTCTTGTATCTGCCACGCCATAGCTATTGCAGCTCCACTATAATTGAGGTAATAATTGGCTGTGTAAACCTCATCAGATAATGTCCATGAAGGACTGCTGAGCTGAGCAGTGGGCTGTGTGGAGTGCGAAGAATCGGCATCATTCCCAGTGCCAAGACTCTCGTCTTTGCTGATGTCAGAACAGGTCCGGGGTACTCAATAGTATAATTACACCCACTCTGACACCCATCAGGTACTTTCCACGTGACCAGTTCGTCGAACTGGAATGAGCATCCGAGAATTCGCTCCCACGCTGAAGATAGGTTCCCAGTGCAATCTTGGATTCCGCCAAACTCAGATGTCCAACCCGTATCCTGTTGGGATCTGTCGAAGAAGATTGTAGGTACATTTATGATGTCATTTATTGGGGATGCTGAACCGATCTCGAGAGAGTTGGGAGCTAGGATGGATATGAGGGTGAATACCTGTACCACAATGGCCATGATGATGACAGGCATCATTTTCCATGGTCCTCTGGACGAAGCAAGATTGATAATCAAAAATGGACTTTATAATCCGAATAGATGGTTCATTTGAACCACCGTGAAAGGCCGGAGACAGATGAACCGCCAGATCTGTGGGGATGGTAAAATCTATTATTCTGAACTCGAGTATTGAATTCTTACGAGCTGCGTGGGTGACGGAGAGACCGAGGTGGCACAGAACCATTGGATACATGTACTCAGTGCATTTGATGAGTTCTTGATCCAGAACTGATGTTGCACCTTGCAACTGCATAGGGAGGATAGAAACAGGTGATGCAGCGTAGCGGTGGCTGCAGCAACGATTAGGAGTCCGATAATCATCCATAGTGTATTTCAGAATCGTGCGACCCCAGCAGACGAAGGTAGCATGGAAGAAGAACGTGGAGGAGAAAGATTGGAGTTGATTAGACTGGACAATTCTTGTGAACTTGAAGACGGAAGAAACTTTACTTTCTCCAGTTCCTCTTCTTCCATCGTGATAGTAAAATGGTCTGGTGTTGTTAGCAGTGAGGGTAGAAATGAGTGCTTCTTATGAAGGCTTGACTTGTATGTACTGGTTGGCCGTGATAAGGACGAAAAGGGTGAAGGAACCTAGTTGTATGAATATATTCAGCTGTTGACTGAAAAATCGGAACCTATGAAGAGGATAACTTTATAACGCATCAGAATTGGTGAGCAAAGTTATTTCTCAAGGTTATCAAAGACTATGGCTTGTCGTCCAATAATGGGTGCATTCTACAGAACAGTGCTGGAGGATTATGGCTGTAGGGCTTTCATGAAGTGTGAATGTATTCAAAGATGCCAGCAGTTACATGAGACTGGCTTCATTGAATCGATAATGCGACCTAGGGCAGAGCACTATCCTCCTTATTTTAGTCCAGAGACAACCAGTGTTACTCACAGCTTTGAGGTCATTGAAACCAAGGCTGTATCAATACAACTTTTTGGTGAAACCATCAAATCATCCAAGTGATTATATGTGTACCAAAATGTGGCATAAATGGGAATAACGATCTACAGTGAGCTCAGTCTTTCCATAGAAAGGATGAAAATGAATGGCCAGGAAAAAAGACGCAGTAGGTACCCTGTACCGGGACCTCCAGAGATGGTACTATCTCCATAAAAATAATTATTCAAGCCAACAGATCCCATGGTGATGAGGAATATGCACGCTAAGAACTATACATGTGGGGACAGTCATCATATGTTCCAATGAAGAAGAGATGGCATGTTCATTTCTACAGTGCCAGAATGACAGACAAATACACGAGTGAAATCGAAATTGATTTTATTATGCCGGGAACTATGGGTCCTAGGGTACAGTTTGTTCTCTAAGGAGATACGAGTCAGCTGGCTGGATAGAGGCTGATACAGGAAAGAAAGAAGAGTCGCCCGACTTGGAATGGCTGTGTTTTGATGTATACTACAAGCTGCAAAGCATGTCCGTTGTCTCTTCTATGATAAACTTTGCTCTCTATTCAGCCTATGGCAATATTTCTCACACTCATCTTTAATTTGATCCGTGAAATAAGCGACGAACCCCTTCATCACTGCAGAAATAATCTCTCTGGCCCCAAACCTTCACTTCTGAACCAGCTTCCTTCAACTGATATACGTGCAGCAAATGAGTTGGCCAGTCAGACATCGTGGGTGAGACTTGCAAGTTTGAAAGCCTCAAAGTTAGCGACTGCAAACCGGAATTGCACCGGGATAAAGCTATAGAACGGACAGTGTCATCCTGGAACAATGTCATCGGAAGACAAATGTACAAAGCCAACCGTTGAAGATGTGGAGTGAACGACGGTTCGGTCAATCTTTGCAGTGTCAATAAATCGGTCTTCATTTAGGATGACGACGAGATCCGTGAGAGATGTAGATATTTCCGCTATAATGCCGTTAAAGCATACAGCATAGATGGCGAGGTTCCTAAGACGGCAGTTTGAGCGCTTGGCACGACTGTTCTTTCACCTCAGTAGAAAGCGATGGGTCAGGAAGATGTTCCAGAAAGGATGAACCTATGAGATCAGATACATTGACACAGATAGGCGGTATTGCGAGTTGCTGATCAGAGAAGTAGTCTTCCAAAGGCATCTGCATGAAAGAAGTTGCATTCTGCATGGGATCGAAGTCGGAGAGGTAGTCATTTCGAAAGCTCTGAGAAAACGAAGGAACTGAAGATTCAGTTAGATTCTCTATCTCATATGAATCCTCAAGCCACGAAAATGAGATGCCCTTCATCTCCAGAGGCTCCAAGCCATCATCCAGGTAGTCATCCATCTGCAGAGCGGTGGTGGTGGTTACTGCAGGAGATGACTGGAGGGAAGTTTACGCCCTTTTCGAACGAAAAATCCACCAGAAATAGGGGATCCCTGATCATGTTTTATTTTTGGCCATGATTTGCATGAAATTTCCTACCGGAATCCCCGAAAATGGCCAATGCGGACATGACATGCTTTCCGATTCCTTCTGTCTCTTGCACTGGATGCTTGAAAAATTTTTCAAGCATCGCGATGATACCTTGTACCAAAAATAAATCCACTTCATCAGAGAAAAACAGATTACTTTTTTTTCCAGCATCACTAGAGTCTTAAAAATATAATAGAAACTTGCATGGGTTAGTGTGACCGCACTGTCACCTACCCCTGGGTACCCCCCGGCCGATCAGAGGCTTCAAACTCCGACGTGCATTGTCCCACGCTAATGCTTGGCGTGATTACCGATCTCGCTCGTGCCAAGCGCTCAAACTGCCGTCTTAGGAACCTCGCCATCTATGCTGTATGCTTTAACGGCATTATAGCGGAAATATCTACATCTCTCACGGATCTCGTCGTCATCCTAAATGAAGACCGATTTATTGACACTGCAAAGATTGACCGAACCATCGTTCACTCCACATCTTCAACGGTTGGCTTTGTACATTTGTCTTCCGATGACATTGTTCCAGGATGACACTGTCCGTTCTATAGCTTTATCCCGGTGCAATTCCGGTTTGCAGTCGCTAACTTTGAGGCTTTCAAACTTGCAAGTCTCACCCACGATGTCTGACTGACCATAAACGAAGACCAGCCCGGAGTGTCCGATACATCGATATCGAGCTAATATATGTCTCAACTTGCGATCTATAACCGCTAGTATCTATCTAGACTTGTGGAATTGTAACACCATTGGTGTCTACTCTAGAGGAGTTGTGGGCAATGGTGGTGATAGTGATGCGAATAACTGTGTCAGTTAGCAATTCTTTTTACCTTTTCATCCATCCTGACTTTGGATCGTTATAATACAACTTTCCTCTGGAGTATCCAGCCCATGAACGACGAGGGATATGCTCAGTTCAAGATGTATTTCTGGGAACGTCTCTTCCCTATCTACTACTCTCCTTCACGGACTGACGGCTCCTCAAGGACAGCGCTATGGGTGGACTAATGACATCCATATCATATTCCATGCTAATGGCACGCTTTGCATAGGAGGAACCCAACACATCGGTAAGTCTTACTATATCGCTTCCTCTTTCATCCGATCATTAAACAACACACAGGCCAAGCATTCTTTGACCAAGACCTCATCACCACCGTCGAGGAGACCTCTCCTTACAACACCAAGACCATTGAAGTCAAAGAAAACGCCGATGACTATACATTCGGTGATGACCTCTAAGGTGGTCTCCTTCTGGGAGTGTCTATCATCATCTTCTATGTTCTCTGTTATTCATGCTTCTGGCGCAGCTGGGCTACAGTCTGTGCAGACTTTACAGCTAGCTTCGAGTCTTCTCCTGACGGTTATCTTACTGAAGCTAGAGGTATTGCGGTAATAGTTCTGACACTGGTGTTTCCTTATGAAGGAGGAAATAGCATCATTACTGACGTGATCAACAGTGGGAATGCGATGACACTGACGCCGAGAGAAGGACTACTTCAGTCCAGTTGCCCCTAGGATGACGGTAATATCAGTGTGTCGCTCTATTTCTAATATGAATAACACCGCCGTCGTGTGGTGTTTACTGAGCACTGGATCCTGCCACGAGGTTAGTATGTTCAACCTGACCACTTTCTGTTACTAAAATGACTCTGATACTTCAAGTACATTAGTGGGCTGGGCGGCCCCACCTTGATTACCACCAGGGCAGACTTCCGGACTATTCCACGGGTAATAACGATGCAAGTTCATTAATGGACACCATACCTCGGGTAGGTTGTGCACATTTTGTTGATGTTGCTTTGATTCAAAAGGTGACATGAATGCGAATGTTATATCGATAGCGTTTTGTTCATCTACTCTCTCATTCGTGTATAGGTTCACGGGTAAGTTTGTTCTTTTCCTCAGCCGTGTAAAGTTCAATATGGTTCCGTTTCTCTAAGGGTCACCTGTATTGTGTATTACCTCCTCTCCAGTTAATGTAGTGCTTGTTCTTAGCACACAGAATATAAATACAGATATGCGAGAGATCATGGTGCGACATCGACCCCTACAAAGCCCGCAGCTCGTGCGATACGACTGGTGGATGTGGGGCGCAAGTATCGATCGCCGCGCTTACTGATAACATATCGACGCCTGATCAACTTCCAGATGAAGGAAATTCGCCCGGTTCTTCACGCCAACATACCGGTTATTCCATACGTTCTTGATATTCGCGGTCACGAGGCTTCGATTGGTGGATTCTTTTCTGTATTTGAAGTGGTTCTTTGATGTGGATCACGGTATATACATTATCGCGACCGATGGTAAGCCTGTAAATCAATCATCTACCCACTCGTTCTAACTGGACCAGAGATATTGCGTTATCACGAGCCGATGCTCTTTCTTCTCGTTCAGTCTCGACATACCCCGCATTACCACAATGTCACTTGCAAGATCCCAGGATCACGTTTTCTCGCCAGCCTGAAATTCTTTGATCCACAAACTTGAAATACGTACGGTGAGCCTAGGCCGGTTGCTCCGCAAATTCAGTCCTGGTCTATCTTTGCCTCTCTACTGCCATGAGTTCGACACAATGTCAGTTCGCTTCTCACGATGCTCGCTACCGCGGCAGTTGCATTGTTGCACCTGTTTCTTCCTATTTCATACTATGGCCCTCCTCACCCTCTCAGCCATTTTTCTCCTGGACCTCCTCACCACAGGTCAGCTCGTAAACCATACTATCGACGATACGCTGGGGGATGATCACACTGGATTCCAAGTAGACTACAGTCCCCTCATATGGAAGAACTCTTCTCAGTGCAGTGATTCCGCAATCGTGCCTGACCGCTCGATGGCGATGAACGATACATGGACAGGCGCAACGTACTATCCCGCACTGAGGAACATGACGGCCAAGCTGGTCTTTCATGGTACACTTTCGACTCCCTAGCCGGGAACACTCACATACTGACTTGTCATTATCAGGGTCAGCGATATACGTCTACCTGATTGTTTCGAACTATCCGGAGAGTAGTGATACGATATGTGATTTTCGGATGGATGGAGACATGGTGGGGAGTTATAGACATGATGCAGATGGGACGTATGAGTTTCAGTACGGTGTCCTTGCATATAGCAACGCGTCTTTGAGCAGCGATGATCATACGTTGCTCATAGAAACGACGGGGACACAGTCATCCTATGTTATCTTTGATTATGCCATTTACATGTACGTTGTTGGTTCTTCTATCTTCCTTGTTATTGACATACTTACCTTTGCAGAAACACCCGAGCATCCATCCCGTCTCCGAATCTGACTATGGAAGAAACCGTGATAACTTCGAGTAGCACGGTTTCACAATCATCAATATCGTCGACCTCAAGGCTATTAAAGACCTTTGGAGGCGCCATTGCCATCGGGGTCTTGGTAGTGATCGTTGTGGCCGCATCGCTGGTCTTCTACATCCGTCGAAGGCGGAACGCATCGGCGACTCCGACTGTGGAAGGACCTATGCATACTAACCTTCACGACGCAGAATCCTCTACCGAGACGTTGACAGCTGAGATCCCTACTCCTGGGCAGCAACACAGGGAACCAGATTCTTCGTGGATATATCAGGGCTGGCTATAGGGAAAAGACGAGTTCCTATCATGGTTGTTTTCTGATGAAATGTCGACAATGTACTACAATGTATTTGTAACTATGTGTGAGAAAAGTTACCTGTTACCACCAACCTACCAAAAGAAATAGATCCCTATAATTGAGGCCGATAACGAATTTGGTCACCCAGGCTTACATGTATGGATTGACAGGCGGGGAGTGAGAGAATTCATCTCTGTAAAATTTTAATAAGAAACTACACTCCCCACGTCTCGCCTTCTGGGTTATTTATCCCACTGCTCTAACTTGGAGGAGATGATCAGTTCATTGCATCGAGAATATCACAAACTAATTGGATGTGCGTAAATGATACCAAACCCTTTTCCGATCACTCTGTCACTGGATAACTTTCGAGACCATGCCAAATGCTCCCACCCTACAAAGACAAAAGGTTTGTGTACAATACCATGTCCGTATTTTCAATCTATGTTTTTATGAAGTACAAATATCATATCAAGCGTGATTTCCGGTGACCAGAATACCCTTTCGAATCCGATCTTCCAGGACTTTCTCCGAATACTGCCTCAACCACTTGCAGCTCCAGCCCCCCCTTGTAAGGCATAGCAAGGAAGTTAATTTGGCTACGTAACTCCTCAGCTAATGGAGGTAGATAAGTTGAAAGTTGTTTAGATCGGATGAAGCTAACTGACCGCCAACAACCCGGAGTCTCACGAAATCTTGTCCATAAAGAGAGATGCGGTGGAAGTAGAACTCCATCAGGTACGAACAAACTGGACTTTGGGGATTCATAGATGAAAGTACACAAGCACGCCGATAACAACGAGAATGGGATGAACCAAGAAAGTATGTATGGTGCCTATGATCGACTTTCATCCTTGCGCTCATAGCCACCCGATGCTGTTGCCATTGAGTTGCTGCCATCTCTGTTTAGCGACTTTACTATGAATAGAACACCTAAGGAACTGGGCTTGATAAGAGCGGTGACATATTTGGGCACAAGGCAATACTAAACTGGCTGAGCTTATGCATTCTCTTGCGCTCCACACGCTTTTGTCCCAGCCAATGCTTTTGGATTTTCCTTTGCTTCACCCATGGCCAGGATACGCGGTGCACCTTATAGGTAGGCGGTACATGAATTGCTCAGAAGAACCTCAGAAGCAACCCTAAGTTAGGGTTTAAAGCAACGGCAGTACACAGAACAGCAGTGGTGGGACCGCAAAATATGACAGATATCTCACTCTGAGGATGGACCATGCACAGGCTGGTACCGTGAATGCATAGCGGTCCCTCTTGTGCATGGTTGGTGTGCTGTGGTAGGGGGCATGTCTGTTTTGTGGTAAATGAAGTCTGTGCCCATTTGCATGTGACATGGGTGTAGGGAGCACATTTGTTTTGCGGTACATTACCGAATCTCGAAATGTGCCCATTCTTGTCATCTAAAATCTATGTAGGTAGCATGTACAGTCCATGGTACATTACCAATTCTCAAAATATGGCCATTATTGTCATTTAGCAACTGTGTAGGTAGTGTGTACAGTCCGCAGTATATTACCAATTCTTGAAATATGCACATTCTGCTGTTTTAGAATCTGCATATGGAGCATGTGCAGTCCTTGGTACATGACCGATTTTCTTTGCAGGCTGCTTTTCATCTGTCGGAGTGAGAATAGCACCATAACAATTTGTTCAATTTGCTATCACATCTTTTGTCAATATACTTTGAAATGGTCAGAATATGTGTTTCATTGACATTGTATTCCAACATCTTTTTTTGCTCCCCTTCTCCCTTTGTCAATTTCGACGCTGAGTGGGTGACACAATGGGCTCTCCCAGTAGCATCCCTCTGTTCCCTTCCATAGTGATTGGTTCCCTTTCATCTGTTATTTGCCTCCTGATGTCTGGCTCTGCTTCATCCTCTGATGATTCCTCTTCTTCTCTGCGCTCTTGGAGAATGTGATCTTCTCTTTCCTGCATGTCCATCTCTTTTTGCTTCTCTCTTTCTTCCCTCTCAATTATCGCCATGATTTCCTCTTTATCCTCCCTATCCCCCCATTCCTCAACATTCTGCAATGCTGGCATGTGGCCACTCATAATATCAAATCTCCAGTTCTCTATCCATGGATTCCGGATGAGGCAGACAGCTGAACATGGTAGAGCCTCTTTTCAAACTCATTCCGGTTTAATCAGTTCCCCTCCCAACTTCTCATAAACACACACCTGTGTGCTATCAGACCAAACACACCACAGGAATTCATCAAATGCCCTTTTCAGTGCTCTTTGCATATCTTCCACTTGTGGTGAAGAAGACATATCATGCACAAATCCTTCCCACATCTTGATTGATTTCATCTTTCCCCAGTTACTCCGTGCAGACTGTCGTTTCCTCGTGTTGAGTTCATTTGGAGTCCGGAAGATGTTGTCAAACAGTGAATCCCACTGGCTCTCTGTTCCTTCATGCATTCGTGCATGTGTCAACACTCCTCCAAGATCATTTTCTTTCATGATATGGATGTCGACCATCTGCCGTTCATTCTGTGTCAGAGGAGAATGCTCCCATCCACATTTCACCCATCCAACCTTCTGCAGCATGTCAGACACATATTGCTGTAGTACTTGATTCAGAAATGTCCCAGCATGCTCTGGATATTGTTCATCATATATCCAGTCCTCTGGTGGCAGATTGGGCCCATAGTCATATGATTTTTCTGGCATTTCTATCTGTTGAGCTAGCCTTTCTGTCTTCAGCATTGGTTCCTCAGGTTGACCCTTGGCTTTCCTTGTGCATCCTATGACCTGGCCTGTTGGCTTCCATTCCATGAATTGTCACTGCTTCATGTGACTATCTTCAGAACAGAACTCATTCAGTGTCTTTCTAATGCCCAACAAATTCCAACCTGCCTCACTGGGCACTTGGATGACACTCTCGCATCGTGGTATTCTTGTACCACCTCCATTCCATGTTGGCCATGCAATCACACTGCTTGGAATCCACCAGAGTCCTCTCTCTGCATATGGTCCTGGCTCATCTGTCCCATCTCTCTTTCATGTGCATGGAAGGATCATGTGATGATCTTCCTGCCAGTACATTTGCAGCCAGATGGCATGCATCAACATCTTGTGTCCTGATTGCTCTTCTGGCTGTGCATGAAGTGAATTCACCATAAATGCAATGAGATATGTCAGGATGACCAGATAGTAATGGTGTCACATGTCTGTATTGTGCTCTTCATTCTGCCACTGGGTCAATGTTGCAAATCCAAGAGCTCTGGCAGATTTAAATTGCCTGTGGATACTATTAGCCCTGATCCTCATCATTATATAGCTTCTAGAAATGGGCTCACCACCAGTCTTGTCATGGAACACAATACATCAGATCCAAGAAGCTTGCAACTGGAACATCTGCGAACACATCTTCCGCATTAGCCAGTGGGACTCGTGCCTCAATCCGTGCATGTACATCGTTATGCCATGCTGCATCTGCGAAGACACCGTACAATTTCCCAAGAAACTCATTGTATGTGTACTTTGACTTCTTCATCAGATTAACTGCTGTAACAAACTTGGCATTATTGCTTGCCCGCATGTCATAGGTAAGGCATTTATCGGTTGTGTACATCTGGACAAAGGTTGCGTTGAATTGTCTGAGCGGTGTGGTATGTGTTGTGATGTGACATCCTGTGACGGAGGTGAGATGTGCACATGTATCCCGTTTGTAATTGTAGTAACTGAAACGCGTCCACTTGTTGGCTTCGGTCTGATGCATTTGCAGTAGTCTCTGTAGCGCGACTGCATGGCCGTCAGAGTGCCACATAACTGCTCCCTCCTTCACAGACAGCTCGAGTGCAACGTCAACAAAGACATCATCACCAGGAGTACTGAACATGTCGGCATTGAATACATGGTCCTGGCGCAGGAAGTATTCTCGCTCAGTTGCATTGCTTGGGTCATGCACTGTCAATGCCTTGATCCCTTGCCACTGAAGCAGAAAATGGTGCCCGATCCCCCATCCATCTGAATGGCGCTCCAGTCGTTCACTGAAATCTCCTAGCAATCGCTCCACATATTCACTAGGGATCAACTCTGTTAGCTTTCTCGTCTGATGACTCTGCTCACTTCCTGCCTGAAACAATTTTGAACTGTACGTAGCAGGAAGACGAGCTGCTGTCATATCCTGATAACGTACTGCTGATTGGATGAATATTTCATAGAGCACAGCATACTCCTGGATGGAAAC